TGCTTAACATATGCACATCAAATTAACAAATATTTATAGAGATTTCAATAATAAGTACAATTTTTGTTTGAAGTTCTAGCAATTTGTCTTAAGGCACGATGCCAGGCATCACTAGTTAATTTCTAAATTAGTATCTAATTATTTTCAAAAAATCTATCATTTAACCATCTATTTCTTCCTTTGAGAGCCAGTTTCCCCACCGCCCCGCCCCGTTCGTGCGAGCGCAGCATCAACAAGATGATCTGGTCCATAACGGACAAAGACAATACGAAAATACACTACTCTCGCATGGGCTGTCAAAGCGATCGTTCTGCCGCAAAAGCGGTCGCTTCGTTCCCTAAGAAGGAAAGAGAACCAACTCCTCGATGTGAAGAAGAAATGTTTCATGAATCCGAAATGGTATGAGGTAGATTTGGATTTTGGGACTCTTAACGCGCCCGAGTGGCCGACTGAGATCGCTTTTGAATTAAGATAAATTATCTGCGAGATAATGCGACGCGTATTATCCCGTTCGCGTACAGGACGGCACACGTCGCAAAATTACAGAGATGTCACATTTGAGATCGCATTTATTTCCTATTGAATTGTCTGCAATAAATGACGATGGTATAATTCAGTCGAAATGTAGAAGGATAATTATATGCTAGCTGATACTAATAAGCTGAAGAGCTTTATAATATAGTTCAAATTACTTTAAGTCGATTAAATTTTTAACTTCCCGTAGGGCGAGTTATAGTAGTGGCAAAAAAATCGAGAATGAAATCATTTTTATACCTATACATTTCAAAGGTTTCTGAACATTTTGGCATACCTTAGAAGAAATGGATGTATGTGCGGATACTATTCTTCGTCGACGATTGCTAGAACACGGATCAACCGATTAGAATGATTCGGATAAACATCTGATCTGGATTCAGTTTTAGACATACAATTTGAACAAAAACATTTAGTTGTTTTGGCAAAATATTTTATTTTAATTTTTAAAAAGGCAGGTCTAGCAGTTATGGAGATCCAGTGGCAAAAGCAAAAAAAAATGTCATTCGGCCGTCAAAAATGCTCATTAGACACATGCGCATCAAATGATCAGATACTTTATAGAGATAATTATTCTGAGGCAGCATATTTCTTCAAAAAAGTTCATATGGATAAACATTTTTGAATGTAGTAAAACAGAAATTGAAAAACAGAAAAGATATAATTATTCTGAGGCAGTATAATTCTTCAAAAAAAGTTCATATTGATAAACATTTTTGAATGTAGTAAAACAGAAATTCAAACAAGACTTTTGTAGTAACATTCGTATTATGTCGGTTTGTTAATATTTTATAAATTTTATGATTAATTTGGAGCAGTGTTATTTTATTAAAAAAGTTAATGTACCTAAATATTCATAAACGTTTATGAAGTTAATAAAACTGAAAAAATAATACTTTTAAAGCAAATTGGTTGTTGTAT